AAATACATTACTGGGATCTGATCAAACTAAAAAGCTTTTGCACAGCCAAGAGCACAATAAGTAAAGCAAACAGACAACCTTCAGAATGGAAGAAAATTTTTGCAGGTTATGCTTCTGACAAAGGTCTGATAACTAGAATCTACAGAGAACTCAAACTAATCAGTAAGAAAAGAACAAATAACCCCATTTCTATGTGCGCAAGAGACTAGCACAGAAACTTTTCTGACAAAGACAGGCGCATGGCCTACAAACACAAGAAAAAATGCTCATCGTCCTTAATCATCAGAGAAATACAAATCAAAACCACTTTGAGATATCACCTAACTCCAGTGAGTTTAGCCCACATCACAAAATCCCAAAACTACAGGTGTTGGTGTGGATGGGAAGAGAAGGAAACACTCCTACACTGCTGGTGGGAATGCAAGCTAATACGACCTTTTTGGAAAGAACTTTGGAGAATACTCAAGGAACTAGAAGAAGAACTGCCGTTCAATCCTGCAATTCCTCTACTCGGTATATACCCAGATGATTAAAAATCACTTTACAACAAAGACATTTGCACCAGAATATTTATTGCAGCCCAATTCATAATTGCCAAGACATGGAAACAGCGCAAGTGTGCATTGATCCATGAATGGATTAACAAATTGTGGTATATGTACACCATAGAATACTATGTAGCCATAAAAAGATGGAGACTTTACATCTTTTATGTTTACCTGGATGGAGCTGGAACACACTTTTCTTAGTAAAGTATCTCAAGAATGGGGAAAAAATTATCCAATGTACTCAATACTACTATGAAATCAATATATAATCACCTACACACTCATATGAATGGTAAAACATAACTATAGTCCAGAAAGTAGAAGGGAGGAGGAGAGTGAGGGGAGGTGAGGGGGGAGACCAGGAGGAGGGAAAGTATTTGGGGGGACCTCAACTAGTGTGCATAATGCAATGGTACATTTCTTTCTGCTCTTTGGTAAACAAAGTGGTGTAGAAGGAAGAGGGCAGGGCAGAGAGAAAGCTCAGAGCTTTCCCTAAAGACTGAGAATGATTTTGCTTGCTGGTCTCTGGGCTGCAGATAACATTTTTCACTGTAGAGTTTACAGAGTTAACACAGTGATAATGCAAATCTGAATATTCTATCTGGCAGTTAAGGAGAAATTGCAATTATATAGTCATATAAACTGTTGGTCATTCTATCCTAATCCCTCCACAGTGTAAGAGTAATCATAACTTTTCATTACACATATGGCAGATTTTCTGTGTTGTAAGTTCTATTAGATCAGAGCACTGGTCTCTATTTGGGTATCCTGATGATTCTTCACTTGCCTTTTATGAAGTGTTTTTTTCAGTATTGGTTTACACCACAGCTAAAGAAAGGGAACGTGGGCAAGACCCAGGGTGTGAACAGGAACAGGGCTGACTGCTGAGACACCGTGGAGGGTGGACGAGGCAGGCCTGGGTCATACCCTGGCATCAGTTTTTGGGCAAGGTTCCAGAACACTTGTTCTGGGCCAGCACATGGTGAGCCTTTTCCTCTGCCTGTTTTGATGGCAAATGTCTTTGCCAAACTCCTTCCTACCACACAGGGGCCTTTCTTCTTGAACCAGTGACGTGGGAGGTCCCCTGTTAGTCTGGGTCAATTTGCTATTCACTTCAATTTTCCAAATGTCTTTGGAGGCCAGGAAAAAATAATTTCCAAATGCCACAGAAGGTAGCAAGCACACATTGTTCCTCTCGTAGAAAGGGCTCCTCCTGCTCTGGGACTAGGACCCCTCTGGAAGGGATCTCACATTCGCAGCCCATCTTGGCAACACCGGTGCTCAGCCCTGAAGGCCAGGAACTGAGTGTTGGTGGTTGGCTCTCCTGGACACAGTCTTTCAAGGCCTAGATCCTTTCAAGCTCTATGCCCCAAAGGGAAGTTATATTCCTTTTATTTCACAAAGGGTGCTTAATTCACTGATGCTCATCAGAGTCTTATGAATTATCTTATTTTTATCTCTTGTGGTCTCCCCCCAAAGAGGTCCATGTCTTACTTCTCTAGGCCTGTGAATAATTTACTTTAGATGCCAAAAGGGATTTTGTAGATGTGACTGAATTGAGGATCTTGGTATAGGACTATTATCATGGATTAACCTGGAGAGTCTAGTGTAATCATAAGGATTCTTATAAAAGGGAGGCAGAAGGGTCAACATCAGAGAACAAGATGTGATGAAGGCAGCAGAGGCGAGAAGGATCACTGCCAAGGGGCAAGGAATGCCAGCAGCCTGCACAAGCTGGAAAGGGCAAGGAAGTGGATTTTTCCCCTAGAGCCTCCAGAAGGAAGTAAGATCTGTCAACACCTGGACTTTTGCTGTGTAAGACTCATTCAGGACTTCTGACAGCCAGAACTGCAAGATAATAACAGTGTGTTGCTTTAAGCCACTACGTTGGTGGTAATTTGTTACAGCAGCAATAGAAAATGAATACACCTTCGTCAACCAAGGAACGGAAGGTTAAGTGACATGGCCAAGGTCATAAGGAAGATAAAGTGATTGAGCCAGGATTTATATGAGGGTTGAGCCACACGTTACGCTGCCTCCACCTAGGGCTGCTCTCAAGGGCGATATCCTCTGGATTTACCAAACACCTGCAGGGGCAACAGTGCCCTTTCACTCAGGAGGAATTGGATTTGATTGAACATCATCAGGCCGGATTAGCCTGGCCCAGAGGACCTGTCTGCCTGGCTCCTGCACTCTGTCCCCTGGAAGCATTGCTATCTTGTGTCGGACCAGGTAAACTACTTGGCCCTGAAATCCCAGCGGTGGGCTTGGCTGTGAGGCTAAACACTGACCTCTTTCCCCTCTACATCACCGTGCGTACAAGGATCTTTCCAAAGGGGGACTGAAAGCAGGGCATAATTGGCATTTATTCAAATTGAGCTTAATTGAATACTTCATCTACACCTCCAGAAAACCACATGGGGTACAGGCTCTGTAAAGAGGAAGTAATTTTCATTAACAGGATCTAAATTAGTCTGACACAAAGACCTACTTGGTGCCTGTGACACAGCTAATAATTACTGCGTGATGAACTCCTTGCTGCAGACAAAGGTTTCCTTTTCCTTTTTCATTTTGTCCCTCTTTCCCTTCCTTCCTCTCTTCCTTCCTCTCCTCCCTCCTTCTTTTCTTCCTTCCTCCCTTCCTTTATGAATCTTCAGGCTAAGCAAGCGATTTTATTCAGCGAGGCCAGGCGGTTGATGGTTTGAGCGCACAGTCCCTGTAAGGTGGGGACAGAGGCCACGCTCCGTGCAGCTGCTGACAGCCCGGAGAAAGCCACCTCAACTCCAGACCGACATGGACTTAGCTGTTACCTCCTCCCACAGACCACTTTGTGCGTTATGCCTCTCGGGAACCTTCCCTTTTGGTCTGCATCTTCAGCTCAACTTTTTCCTCTCATGCTGTCCTCTCGGCTCACAAACTCTCAGTCCCAAAAGATGGGAAAAGAAAAAGGGTTTCCAAGTCCGAAACCTCCTTTTGTCCTATTCTCTTTTTAAAATGCACGTGTGAGCTTGTCACGCCTCTCATAAAACCTCCGATGATTCAGAGTGCCTTTAGGATAAAGTTTTGGGGGTGTTCTCTTGTCTCTCCCCTGGCCACCGGCTCCAGCCATGCTTCCCCACCCAGCCCCTAACTGGGCCCAAGCTGGAAGGGGCCGTCACACATGGTCACTGCAGCAGCCGAAGAACGTGGAGTTCCCTTTCAACAAGTGTTTGGGGTGGGGGGAGGAGAGGGAGATAGACATTCTATTAATGTGGCAAATTTTTTCCTTTCTGTTTAAAAGAAGGAATTTTTATTTGTGATGCAGAATAATATGCCAATATTAAGCCAATTAAAATCTAGATCATACTCTTTCTTGGTAGACATCAAATTACTCTCCAGTTTCAGAATTGAAGGCTCCTAAATTGCACTCAGAGAATGTCAATTGCCGTCTCCAAGGTGGAGACCTTTGCCTACATGCTGCAAGCTTTGAAGAAACCTCTCAAGAGAGATATGCCCATGGTTTTCATTTTATTATTTATTTCAATTACCACTGGAGAGTGCTGTTGGCTTCTGTGAAAGTGGATGGATTTTTGTGTTGTTTCTGTTGGGTGTAGTGTTGTGGGTGGTATCTAAGTTAGTAGGCACCATATTTCCTATATATCCCAGTAGCGTTTTGATACCCTTTACAGTTTGGGGTCCCTGGAATAGGTTTCTTGCTAGTCCATCCCTTAATTCAGTTTGTGCTTTGAGCTCTCTATGGCCCCTTGAATATACTGGGGATACAGGGGAGGTCAGTTATAGCCCTTGAAGTTGTAACCAAGACTCACTGTCCATGGATGTCAGCGTCCCTTTCCTACAGGAAGAGCCTTTCCGTGGTGACTAACAAATGATACTTAAGGCCCACAGACTTGTGAAGTACAACTGAACAGGAACTTTCCTCATTAGATTCCATGTAACCCCGATGCTTGGGGTGTAATGCTGTCTCTTCCTACCCATGCTCTCTAACAGCACCTTAGCCTTCATTCATTTCAGGTTGCAAGTTGGGTGGGATCAGTATCTGGGGAAAAGCTGGGATAGGGCAGCCCAGTCCAGGGCGTGAGCTGGCTGTCAGAAGGGCAAGCCAGCCCAGAGGAGGTAGAGGGGCCCAGGACCTAGCAGTTCCGTCTGCATGTCAGAGCCTGGTACCAGAGGAATCCTACAGAAGGATGCTGGGTCCCAGGGTGACACAGTTCTCTCCTAGCTCCCTTGGGAGACATCCCAGGGCCATATGCTGACGAACAGGCATTAGTCAGTTGGGAACTACATCTGGGTGGCAGGAGCCTGTGAGTAGGGAAGGGAGTAGCACGGAAGGATGGGCCAGGTGGCTGGTAGAGAGTCCAGGGGGAGCTTTGTAGCCCCTGCTGTCCTGTCTGTAGAGAGCACCATTTGCATTCGGTCTGTCCACTTTCTTAGTTTCTCAATTCTCTTTTCCAGATTGTGACCATCTTGGCAAACATGTCTGTCCTAGAGCAGTGTGCCTCTGACATCATTCAGGAGAATGGTACGTCTTTGCAACACTGTGTATGATGATCTGGGTGTAGGGGACCATGTCCCTTTGTGTTCGTATGAATGCCTATGTGTAGGCAATGTGAATATATATGTCTCCACGTTTGCATGAGCAGATATGTATAAGCTTGTATTATTTGCTTTCATGGGCTTCGATTCTAGTGGGAGACATGATGAACGAGAGGATAATTTAGGTGATAGTACCACGGGGAAATAAAGCGAGGAGGAAGAATAAGATGGTCTCAGGGTGGTGAAGTGGAGGAGAAGGCAGATATTTCATTATGATTCAAAAGTTAAAAATCAATTCCTACCAAGGGATGCATTCCAAATTTAAATCGTTCCTCTCTTCTTGGATTTGGCCTCAGTGGAAAACTGAAGAGCCTGGGAAGCGGTAAGAGCTATAAAGTCAGGGCGACCTGGGTGCTCTGACCCCTCCCTAAGAGCATCTCTTCTGTCCCCCCTCCACCCCACCCTGCCACCATTCTCCCTTGCCACCTTGTGCCGAGGGTAGGTGTCATCAAGGTCCAGGTGAGGTGGCACCAGGTTTTGCTGGCCTGGAAGCTGGTCTAAGCAATCTATGCTGGAGGACAAGGTCGCTGTTGCCTCGCAGCTGGGAACAGTGTGGTGAGGGCTTCCTGTGACTGGGAAATAAGGGAGCAATTAGCAACCAGTTGGAAACCAGAGACGCTAATGAGGCAGAGTGAGCTGGGAGCCTGGGCAGCGGCTGCTCCTGCGCTTGTGAAGCCCCCTCCCCTCAAGCTGCCCTGCTGTCTTAACAAACATATACTTCCCCAACCCCCATTGCTCTAGTACTAATTGAAAGACATTTTGTGTTAATTTTATGTGATTGAGCTAATAATGAGAAATTTTGCTGAGCCAGCTGAGGCCAAGAGGCTGAGTGGTATCGTGCGTGCCCTGTTCCTTCAGCACTTAGGGCCTTATGTTCAAGTGGTCAGTGGGGTGGGTCTCCACAGACCTGTGAATTTGAGACTGGAATATCTGGCATCTCTGGAGCATTTTATGGTTTCAGAGATGCTGTTGACTGACTCAGTGGATGGTTACTGAGACCTGCTCTGTGCTTGGCCTTGTGCTAGAGCAGTGGTTCTCAACTTTCCTGATGCTGTGGCCCTTTAATACAGTTGAGAATCACTGTGCTAGAGAGACAATAAGAACATAGAGATAAATGTCTTTGCCTTTGCCCTAGAGGGTCTCATAGTTTAGAAGGAAAACTTGACTCAACGAGAGTGATAGCATAATAAAAGTATGACGTCTGCCATTGAACAGTTCAATTGAGAGAGGATGGCACAGTGGTCGAGCCTGAAAACTGGAGCCAGGCAGAGTAGGTGTGAAACCAGACTCTGTTATTTACCAGCCACATGGCCTCTCTGTTTTTCCATCTGGACAATGGGAACAGTAGTAACACCTGCCTCACAGGGCTGATGTGGGGATTAGCGTGAAGATGTGAGACGAGTATCTGAAAGAGAAAGCTCTGTGCTGAGCCAGTCTGCTCTTTCAGGAAGTAGTGTCAGTCTCGCAGGGTTTAATGGAGGAGAGTTTGTTGAAGGGACTATTTGCAAAAGAGGTGCAATATTTGAAGGGGTCAGCAATGTGGCAGTGCAGTCAGGGGCCACTGGAAGAGAGTGAGTGAGGCTCCTAGGACTGGACAGGGCAGGCCCTCAAGTGCAGGCTGGGCTTTCAGCACCCATGGCCTAAGTCCCAGGTTGCCAACTTCGACATCACACCATCGACAGGCCATGTAAACGGTGAGGTGGCTCCCTGGAGACTCGATCAGTCTCCTTTAAAACAGTAAGCTTGGAATAAGCGTCAGCAAAGTGTTGTTATGCAGAAATGTGGGTCTAGTGCTGTCAGTCAGGAGGCAATATTTATAGGTCAGAAATCTGGATTTTTATGAAAATATCTTAATTTGGCTATCAACAAAAATTTAGACAGTTTGTGGGGCAGCAAAACAAAGCACAATACATCCTTGGGTCATGCCTGGTTTAAGTTCTAAGCTGGCAGGAGCTACTGGGTGCAGAAAAGGGAAGATTAGGCCGGGCTCACATAGGAGGTGGACTTTCCCTACAGCCTGCACGGTAGGGGTATTCACCCAGCGCAGAAGGGAAAGAATGACATCCCTGCAGAAAGAGTGGGCCAAGGCAAGGAGGGGGAGTGGATGTGGGAATAGTTTCCAGAACAATCAGGAGACAGGTCTAGTTTTAGGGGAAGGTGAGAGGCTTCTCAGCAGGGCTAAATCTCCGTCTATCTACTCCACTTTCTTCCAGTGCTTGAGTCTGCTGTTTCACATTTGATGTAGTTATTATCCAGGTGTGGGTCACCTCTTACCAGAGGGCTTGTCACCTCTGGACCTGTCTCAGATGCAGCCAGCATCAGAGGTGAAGAGGTAATGGAGAGAAGCCAGTTATGTGAGTTCCAAGACCACCTCCCTTAACTCCTAACTGTGTGAGCCTGGGCAAGATATTTCACTTTTTTCTCAACCTGAAAAATGGAATGATAACAGCACCTAGCTCTTGAGGCTATTGGGAGGTGAGGGGATCATGTATTTACTGTGAATTTAATATGGCTATGCAGGAAAAGCTCAGTAATAGCATTAAAAAAATAAAGATGTCCTTAGGTGTCCCTTTGAAGTATAATGATTTGGTACATGGAATCAAAGACACCCTTAGGGAGCAGGAGGAGAAGAGTGGCCTTGTCCAGCGTGCTATCTGTGGGTGAGCCCTCCTAAGTCATCCTGGTAGCCTGTAGCCATCTGACCCACGGGGAAGGCTTCACACTGCAGGTAGGTACTAACTGTCCATTGCTTCCTACTCAGGGGTCCAGCTTATCATGGGCATGCTGTCTGAGAAGCCAAGGTCTGGGACCCCTGCTGAGGTGGCAGCCTGTGAAAGGGTCCAGCAGAAAGCTGCAGTGACCCTGGCCCGGCTCAGTCGAGACCCAGATGTGGCCCGGGAGGCCGTGCGGCTCAGCTGTAAGTGGCACTGACTGTGGCTGTAGTGGAATGGGGGGCTGTGAGAGGGGAGCTGCAGTGATTTCATAGTAGGAACAGTGAAAACAGGGTGAGGGCTGAGTAGGGTGAGCCCCACTCTCTGGGTGCTGGGAAGTGCTGGGAGAGAGGTCCAGGGTGCGGCCCCTGCTTTAGTTTGTAACCTATGGCAGGAGCAAGAAAGAGAAAGGGCCGAGAGAGGTGAAGTTGGCCAGAGTAGTGACTCACCTGCAGACTCCTTGGTAATTAGGTCCCCATTCTTTCATTCACTCATTCACTTACTCATGTGTTCACTTAGTTATTCATTTCCTCATTTGTTTACTTATCCACTCATCGGTTCATTGGTCCTTCAGTTCATTATCATTACATTTATGTCACCAATCATCCATGTACCCCGCGGAACAGCAAGAGGTAGCAGACAGAGGGTTACTTCCCCACAAAGACTTCATGGGGGCGTAAACACACAGACTGTCTGTGTACCTTCTAACACTGTCTTAGAATCACCTTGTTTTTCTTTTAAGAATTTGAAAAAAGTCGATATGCATCGAAAAGCTAAGTCATTTATTTAACTTTCCTCAGTAGAGCACCAGAAAACATTATTAGAGTTTGTAGGGTTTCTTTTTTGTTATTTTAGCCACAATATATTTTCTTTTGTCTTTTTTTTTTTTTTTTGCAGTTTTTGACTGGAGGTGGGTTTGAACCCGCCACCTCCAGCATATGGGGCTGGCGCCCTACTCCTTTGAGCCACAGGCGCCGCTATCCACAATATATTTTCTAGCTGAAATAAGCAATGGGGGAAAAAGAAAAGTAAAGCTGAGAAGTTTATTCTCAGGGCAATATCGCTAGTGCAGTTTGTGCTAAATTCAGTTCTAGCCAGTGTTCTGGCACTTGTGGATTTGGCTTTGATGCTCCAACTGGCCTTGGCCTTGGCCAGGACCTGTTTACTCTGACGAAGTGGAAAGTCTCTACCATGAACTTCTTCAGCTGGATGAGCCTCCTTCCCTGGCACAGGGAGACCGATGGGGCCCTGGGAGCCACCTGCCTCTTTAGGGCACCATGCACAGTGGGTGTCTGAGAGAGGACCAGCACCTCTGGGTCAGGCCTGGCCAGGTTCCATGTCCCAGGTGTGGAGTTCTCCCTGTGTCTCATGCAGGTATGTCCCGTCTCATCGAGCTCTGCAGATCCCCATCAGAGAGGAACAGCAGTGACGCTGTGCTTGTGGCCTGCCTGGTGAGTGCTTTGTCTTCCCCCAGCATATTCCCTGGCCTTGGGAATTGTAGACCAGGGCCCAGGAGAATTGGTTATGGCATGCTTGGCTTGAGTAAGCCATAAAACCTCATGGGGTTTTTGTTTTTCTCTATAATTTAGTGATAGTTGTAATACTTTTTTCACTTAATAAAACCAATGGCTTGGCGCCTGTGGCTCAAGTGGCTAAGGCACCAGCCACATACACATAAGGTGGCGGGTTTGAATCCAACCTGGGCACACCAAAACAACAATGACGGCTGCAACCAAAAAATAGCCAGGTGCTGTGGCAGGTGCCTGTGGTCCCAGCTACTTGGGAGGCTGAGGCAGGAGACTCGCTTGAGCCCAGGAGTTGGAGGTTGCTTTGAGCTTTGATGCCACAGCACTCTACCCAGGGGGATAGCTTGAGGCTCTGTCTCAAAAAAAAAAAAAAAAAAACCCAAAAAACAAAAAACAAAACCTATGAAAATATTATGAGATCGTATATGTGAAAGATGGGACACCAAGAAACCCCCTGTTGTTCTATCACCATAGTTTTTGTAACTGTGAACTCTTGAGGTTCTGGGGAATCTTAAAGGTACATCAAAGCCCCAGTGGCAGGCAGCAGAGTGTGAGGTGGTGGGGGATGTGACAGAACATGGGAGTTAGGACAGGGTGGTCTCCTGCTTGGCCCAAAGAGGACACAGTGATAAAAGCCCCTCTGCTGGTGCTCTTCCAGCACGGTGGCCCCTCTTCCTTCATGGGCTAGGATGGAAAGAAATAAGAATGAATTATTCAGCCAGCCACCAGGCTCTTTCCCCTGAACTCAAGTGAGCCTGTTCTGGAGGCCTCCTCCCAACTTCTTGATGCTAGAGATCTGCCATGGAGTGTTCGACTGTGCTAGGCAGGGAATACCTGCTTTGTTGACATGCTCTTCCCTCCCAGGGCCATAAAAAGTCCCCAAGAAGAAGTCCCCATTTGGAAGCGTTGAGTAGCAGGGAGGCCATTGTGTAAACAGGGCCGTTTAACTTCCAGAAGAGAGTGCCAGGTCTTTGGTCCTCATGGAGGAAGAGAGAAGCCATGGATTTAAAGATTGTCCCCGCTGTTTCAGTAAAGCCCTCCCCTCACTTCATCATTTTCTAACTGAGCTCATCTCATTCCTGGGAGTTCCGGATGACTGTTGTGCAATTGTAGAAACAGTGGGGCATTATAGTCAGACAGACTGTCCTGGTCTTACCATTAATGAGCTGTGTGACATTTGGCAAGTCACTAAGTGCACTAAATTCTACTCAATTCTACTCAATAAATGTTTACTGAATGGTTCTGTGTGACATTCGCTCTTCTAGGCTATCAGGGTGCAGCTGTTTGTAGAAAAAAAGAAAAATCTTTGTCCTCCTATAGTATTCTGGTATTAACTCTTTTTGTGCATTTGGTGAAGCTTATGGACCCCCCTTTTGCAGAATGATCTTTTAAATGCCTAAAATATATAGAATTTAAAAGGAACCAACTATATTACAGTAATGATTACTGAAATATTTTAACACATGACATATTAGTAGATGTGCTTGTTAACCAATCATTAAATAAGACCTAGCAGTGGGTACTATGATCTTGATTACTGATGATTGTAAATGATATGTGAAAGGACCTTCAACAACTGGAATGGGCTCTGAAATTATCTGTGATTCCTGCTCACGAACACAGGTCACAGAGACTGCTAAGGCTGCATTCACTGTCAAAGGAAATGCTAAGTTTCAATTAGAGGTTAGTGAAAATAAAGAACTTTTCTTCATCTGTGTTCTCAGACCCTCTTTCTTTCTTTTTTTTTTTTTTGTTTGAGACAGAGCCTCAAGCTGTCCCCCTGGGTAGAGTGCTGTGGCATCACAGCTCACAGCAACCTCCAACTTCTGGGCTCAAGCGAGTCTCCTGCCTCTGCCTCCCAAGTAGCTGGGACCACAGGCGCCCGCCACAACGCCCGGCTATTTTTTGGTTGCAGCCGTCATTGTTGTTTTGGCGGGTCCGGGCTGGGGATTCAAACCCGCCACCTTAGGTGTATGTGGCTGGCTCCTTAGCCCGTTGAGCTATAGGCACCAAGCCTCAGACCCTCTTAATTGTGCTCGATCTAGCAAATGAAACGAGTGGAAATTTACAGCTGGCTGGCATGCGATGATTGGCCTCCCCTGCCTGTGTCTTGGTAGCTCCCACAGCCAGCCAGACTCTGCAGAGGCCCTGAGGAAATGTTGGTAGCATTGAAAGCCTTGGGGAACCTGCTCCATGCAGACATGAAGGGCTTATTGTTATTGTTGTTGCCATTTTTGTTTTTTTTTTAGCTTGAAGGAGAGTATACAAAAGGGATAGGCTACTGTCTTAAGTCACTTAATGGATTTTCAAGTGGAAAAGTGATTGTGTTTGTTCTTCTGGAGGTGTTGGTGGATTTTGAAGGAAATCCTTCCCTTCTCAGTCCATTCTCCATGTGGCTGCTGAGTTCATCTTCTTCTTCTTCTTTTTTTTTTTTTTGGCAGTTTTGGCTGGGGCCGGGCTTGAACTCACCACACCCGGTATATGGGGCTGGCGCCCTACTCCTGGAGCCACAGGTGCTGCCCTTGAGTTCATCTTCTTAAGGGATACTTCCATGGAGCCCCCATGGTTTCCATGGTTCCCCATCATCTATGTGTGGGCTCCTATCCACCTGTCCAGCCCCTCACAGCCTGGCTCCAACCCACCCTGGGAGCCTGAAGGCCTCCTGTTGTTTCCAGACCTGTCCACCTCCTCTAGGCCAGAGTATCCTGACCTGTACCTTGGCCCTTGCCCCAAGCAAATGCCCTTTCTGCAACTCTGTTTATCAAAATCCTGCTCATTCCTTAAGGCTCAGATCTAAATCCTTCTCCTCCATGACGCTTTCTAGGTGCCCTCTGTGTTACAAAGACAGGAAGTTCACAGTTTGTACCTGGGCCTCCCTCCTGGATTTCCTCTGACCCAGTCTGAAGCACATTGTATGAATCATGTTGTAGGTGGGAGGCACTTGGATTCAGACACAGGCCTGCCTGACTCGGAAGGCCTGCACTTTGTGACCAGACCATCCTGTTTTCAACCATGCTCTTTCTCTTCCCCTCTCATAGCTTTGGTTTTTGTATGTTGACTCATGAAGATTTTTATTTCTCCCTCTCTAGCCTGGAACCTTCTTAGAATAGGGGCTCCCCCCCATCCTCCATATCTTTATATCTCCATAGAATCTTGAATTTGGTGACTGTTACTTGGCTTTGGGACTGACAGACTTGTTCCCCTTCTGCCAGCCCCAGTGTTGGTGGGTGTCCATGGTTTGGTCCAACACTGGGGTAGGGTCCCCTGGTCATCTCACTGAGATGGCTGTCACTGGGAGCCTGGCCTGCAGGTAGATTGGGCAGCTACCTTTCCTGCTCCTTCCCAAGGCCTTCTTTCCAGTTTCAAAGGCTCTTTTCAGGTGGAGGGAGGAAATTTCAATTATCGTCTCCCAAGTCTGGGAAAGTGGCTGTTCAGATTGCCTTTCTCGAGCAGAATTGATTTTTCTTTAATGAAGTGGCTGACAGTGGGCTGTGAGCTTGTTTAATACTCGGGTGTTTTCAGGTTTTTTGGGAACGAGATTCTTGGATGACTGGCTGTTAACCCTTCCGGGGGAGCAGAGGTTAAGAGGAAGGCTGGGGAAGGTGCAGGGTCCTTGGAGGCTGCTGGACACTGCGTGTGGGGGTGCCCTCTGAGCTCCTGTGGGGTGCATGTCCTATGGGCTTTCTGGTGACCTTGGAGCCCTGAGGGTTTCTCTTCTCTCTCTGCTGTTTTGTTCTTCGCTTTTCTCTCTTTCTAGGGGCTGCCTTTTCTCTCTGAGCAGTTTCTCTTCCTTCTTTATTCCCTCCTCCCCTCTTTCTATCCCTATCAGCCCCTTCTCTCTCTCTCTGCTCCATCCTTTCCCTCTCTGCTTCCTCACCTTCTCCTACCTCTTCTGCCCCCCCCAACGGTGCTGTCTCTCCCTCTCATTTATTTTCTTTGTCATTATTTCTCTTTCTCTCTCCATCTGCCTTTTATGCATAGTCCCCATAGTCTCCTGTCCTTCACCAAGCTCATCGGTCTGTTTTAACATTTACTTCTTGTTCTTTTTCCTTCTTGTCACTGTCTTGTCTTTGTCTGCTCTTTTCTGTCTCATTTGTTTTCTATGTTCTGTTTTTTGTCTCTCCCCCTTCCCATGCTTTATTTTAAACCTTGATGATGCAGAGTGCATCAAAGGCCCCATATCTTCATCTGCAGAAAATTCCTGGTTCCATTTGCACATTGACAATTCAGAGGCATTGGGGTGTTTTATTTTTCCTGGATGGAGCCCAGAGGATTTGGGAAGTGCTGTGGAATTCAGCTTCTTTAGCCCTTGGGGTAACTCATGCCCCAGGAGTAGGGTGATCAGACGTCCTGCTTTTCAACAATTTGTCCCGCGTCCCGTGGCTTTTAAAAAAAGTCCCGGTTTTTGGAAAGAATGCAGGAACGGGCGGGAGAACAGGAAGGGAATATATGGTTTTCGGCTGCCATGTGGCTATTTCGCCAGAATATGAGTTTTATATTATTTTTGTTAATTTTATAATGTTAAACTATAATAATAACAAATAATTGCTAAGAAGTGATTATCGAGAACTGCTTATCAAAGTTTGCATTGTTGTCAGGCCCTGCCCTGCCCCCGCCTCCCACCATGTTGTCCCGCCATGTCCCGCCTTACCGATGTTAAAATCTGGTCACCCTACCCAGGAGAAGCAGGACACAGAGTTAGTAGAGACATCTTCTTCCTACTCCAGGGTCTTGGACCTTGCTCATATATATGCACAGAGACGCAGGTTCCTTCTCCTTGATCCGGCTCAGAGCACCTGTGACTCCAGCCATCAGCTCAAACCATCTCTTTTCACTCCTTGGCCTGACTTCTCAGCAGCAGGCTACCTGCCGTATCTGGGTAATGACGTACTCTGCTCTTGCCTTGTACTCAGTGTATCCTAGTGTCCTGGGCTTGCAGCATCCTGCCTGCGTGTGGGCTCTGAGTACGCTGGAGGCGGACTGCTGCGTGATGTTCTGGAAGGCCACTTTCCTTTTCTGACCTTTAGTTTCCTTATGTCCAACCTGGAGATCATGATAGTTAGCTTGAGGCATCATGTTACAGGGATTAAATAAGATACTCTGGGTAGATCCTCAGCACGTGTTTGCATTCTCTCCTTTGCTTCTTCTGCTGTTGTGGATGTTCCCTTGCTCTGTCTGTTTCCAGGGACTAGGTGGGGAGGAGGCACCTTGCTCCCCTGCGGTGCACATGCTCAGGAAGAGGGAAGGAATGAATATTCATCCAGCACTTCGTCTGCATTGTCTCAGTTACTGGCAAACAGGCCTAGGTAGGTCTGTAGCCCACATTTAGATTCAGTTTGCTCTATCAGGAGGCCTCAAATTTAAAGCACTTCACTTGTTCTTTTATTTTCAGCAGGCTTTTATTGGGCCCTGTGCTGCCTCTTATAGATAACAGAGAAATATAAAATTTGATCTCTGCTTTTGAGAAGCTTAGAATAATATGGGAGATAAGTACCCCGAAATGAGTTACAATCAGTTGTGGAAAGGTGAAGGTCAGCCCAGGGACCCTGGGTGCACAGGAGAGGGGCAAACTATCTCTGCTTCAGGGTAATCAGGGAAGGCTTTCCCGGGGAGGTGACAATGGGCCAGGCATTGCACGAGGAATGTGTCTCCTGGCCAGGAAAGAGTGGGGAGGAGCTTCATCTTATAGGGAAGAGTATGAGCAAGGACTCCTGGACATGAGAGAGGAACAGCATTCTCTACGCTCAGCATGTGGGGGCCTGGAAAGCACTTTCATTCTGCCTGTATCTCTGTTGATCCCCTTGCCAGACCCTGAACGTTTGGCTCCATAGCTACTCTGATGCTGTTCTCTCTCTCTTCCTTCCTTCCCATCCTTCAGGCCTTTGTGTAGGACCTTGCTGAGAATACTCTGGGGACTTGGAAGCAATAATACAATCCCACCGATGCTTCTGGTAGTTCTAGTCTCTAGGGCAAACACATCTGGACCTTAAATATGCCACTAAGTTGACCAGATCCTTAAAATGACCGATCTTGAAAAATGACCAGGTTCTTGAAATGACTAAAAATTTAAGATGGCGAGACTATTAGTAAGATTGTTCAGAGCTTTCACATCTGCTGTAGTGATCCCGGTGCAAATGAAACCGAGTGACCAAGTGATAAAGTCAATATGGGGACCAAAGCGGTCATTAGGTGCCAGGTGGCCAGGAGGATGATGAGACCACACCCTGAAGTGCATCTTTGCAGCAATTAAAGGAAACACATGCACCAGAGCAGGCCCAGTCTGACTTGTGTCACCTCTCCTGTCTCCTTCCCAGGCTGCTCTGCGCAGGTTGGCTGGAGTCTGCCCCGAAGGCCTCCAGGACTCTGACTTCCAGCAGCTGGTCCAGCCGCGGCTGGTAGACTCCTTCTTACTCTGCAGCAACATGGAGGAGAGTTTCGTATAGTGGGGATTGGAGAGGAAAGGCAGCCAGCCAGCCACGCTCACGCTTCCTCTGAGGGCACACCTGTGAACAAACACAAGCACCCACCAGCTCTCCGCACCTCCTTATTTATACTTAATTTATTTTTACAAGAAACATAGAGACAGTGAAATTGAATGAAATCTTAGCACAACACCATCAAACAATCTGTGGTCCTTGGGAGTCTTTTTGTTCTGATTTTTTGACTTCCGTGGCTTGTCAGTTGCAGATGTTGAAATGCGTCCTGGCGAATTCAACAGATTGTCACCGGCTGTTTCACTTCATCTTATTTACTCTTACAGTAAATCTCAATCTTGACTCATTTATTTGTAACTTTTGAACCAGAGTATTTTAACTGCCTGGCATTTTTTTTTTTTTTTTAAAGTTGGATCTTCTCTTTCCCAAAATGTAGAATGGATTTCATGGTTGGACAGAATATACTGAAAGTTTTTTTTCTTTAATAAAGGGTATCATGAAAAATGTGTCCTGAGTTTTCCGATTCAATTCAACTAACTTCTTGCTTCCCCAGGTTTCATTCCACAAAAACCTTTGCAACTATTAGAAGGAAATAGAGAATTGTCGTGTTTTCATGGGTATATCGATGGGCCAAGTTCTAGATGACTCAGTGAAAGATGACAATGACTTTCAGAAATATTTCCAGAGACACTAGAAACTTGGTTTCCTTTGGCTTCTCTGCTCTTGTCTAGCCTCCTGTTTACCTCCTAGAGAGCTGAGTTCACAGATGAGGTTTATTAAACGATCCTTCAAAAATATACTTGAAGGAGCTGGAGCCTATGCTGGAGCCTGCCCATGCTGGCTCACAAGTGACAATTGTGAGCATTTCTTCCCAACCCTGCCTTCAGTGACTCCATTTTGGTAGCCTGAAGTTGGCCATCGTGGGAGTATTTATATCTCAGAGATTGACTAATGCCATAAATCAGAGCTTTAGACTTTTTCAGAGAGCTGATTTACCAATATCACTGCTTAAAAGTATCACAAAAATCTGTGTATCTTTCTGAAAGGCTTAATGCTATCATATTGGGATATGATTTTATGCAATTCAAGAAACATTTTTTGAATTCCCAGTTACTAGTTACAGTGAGATAACGTAAAGTATCAGGTCCTAGGCTGAGCATCTAACATGTATTAGCTCATTTGTTCCTCAAATAATGACATGATTATTAATGTATATTACCACATATGATCATATTATTACATCAGTTGCCCAAGGTCACTAACTAGTAAGTGGTGCTAGGATCTGAACATGGAAATACCTATTACCAGAGCTTTCACTATACTTTTGGTGTTATACCAAAAGGTGATGTCTAGGTTCTCCACCTAAAATCATGATGATGATGATGAAAAACATGTATATAACATTTACTAAGCCCTTGTTGTATATCATTTAATATATCAACTTATGAATATACATTAACATTTATTACTATGTACCCATTTCACAGATGAGGAAACAGAGAAAACTCATTTATAGATGAGATATGGAACCTAAGTAACACATAAATGGCAGACCCTGGATTTAAATCAAGGTCTTCTGAGTCCTAATAAAAACTTCCACTTTTATGAAAATGGTTTTTGACAGATCTCACTGAATTATGCAGATTTTCCAGATATTGACACCTTTCATTATATAGTATCAATAAATAACTTGTTAATATCATCACTGATCTCATCAGTTAAGTCTTTAAATATCGGGAAGCTAATGAGCTTGAAAGCTCAAATGTTATTTTTGGCAACAAATATTGTCAGTTGTTTTCCTTAAAGAGACAGCCTCACTTTGTTCATTTTTGAGAAAATATCTGTCTGCCAAACACCCCAGTCTGAATAACCATAATTTGTCTGTCAATTATTCTTTCAAATAAAACTAGTGTTCTGTGGCAAAAGCAACTAGTTCATGTTACAATTCAAACAATCACACCAGTGCTTTTCCCCTGAAACTGACACCCATCATGTTTCAACACACAGTAGAAATGCCTAAAGTATAGTTCTCATATCACCCAGAATATATTAAAAAAACAAAAAATACCTACCTAAGGGGCAAGATTTAATGACGAATTTTTACTGCTACCAGGATATTTATAACTAAAATTGGTATTTAAAACACGTAAGCATGAGGCAGTGAAGACTACGATGACATAAGAGTAGTTTGGTGCCACTGCCTTGATCACATTAAGGTGCAATTTTGCTCACCATCACTTTTGCACCATTAGGGCAAATGTCAACAAGTGACAGCGGTAACTACTTTCTTAGTATTATGAAAAGGTCTTAGGAATCCCCAGAGATTATAGGTCTTAGGTCTTACAAGGGTCCTACTTGAGAATGACTGATCTATTTTTTTTTTTGTTGAGACAGGATCTCATTCTGTTGCCCAGGCTAAAGTGCTGTGGCATCATCATAGCTCACAGCAACCTCAAATTCCTGGACTCAACCAATCCTCCTGTCCCAGTCTCCTGAGTAGTTGGGACTTTAGGCTCATGCCACCATGCCTCGCTAGTTTTTTTTTTTTTTTCTCCTATTTTTTGCAGAGACAAGGCCTTGGTATATTGCTGAGGCTGGTCTTGAACTCCTAGCCTCAAGCAGTTTTCTAGTCTTGGCCCCTCAACGTGTTAGGATTATAGACACAAGCTACTGTGCCTGGCCTGATCTAGTTTAATACTCACTTTGTAGTTGAGGAAATTGAGGCTGGTATTGAAGGGAAGCAAATAATTTTTCCAAAAGAACACAGAATGAAGGCTAAGACCCAGCTTTTTGCACCAAGGTCAAAACTCTGTCCCAGTTGGTTGATAATACCACGGACCTACAAGAGATGAGAGAAGAAGAGAAGCTGTTTGAGTAACACTACATATATACTGTACGTTGAAAACCTCTACATTACAACAGGAAATAGAATTTAACTCAGATTGTTCAAATAAAGAAACTTTAGGAGAGAGGCTATTTGAAGCGGAGTTGAAGGAGCAATTGAGGAAAGCTGAGCCAGCCAGAGACTGTGGCAAACCCTTACCATGCACAGGCAGAGGGTGCGGTGAGACCATAGCGTTCCCAGAGTCCACTGAGTGCTGGGGTCATGGAAGAGGGGCTCCCTGGTGGGACATATGGGGACTCAGCCACTGCCAGAGACATAGAGTCTGTGCAGGGAGGCAGCAGGACGGAAATACCTACTCTCTCTTTCCACCTTCTAATCTCCCACCAGGGCCTCCCACTGGCTAGCACACTGGTGAGAGAGTCAGAGTGATGGAACCCTCAGAAATCAGTCTCTTTAAGGAGAAAGCAGGGAAGAGAAGAGAACAGATCTGAGTAAGGTCTGAATAGGTCAAAGTGAGAATAAAGAACACAGGTGGAAAAGTCTACATCTTTCTCACTCTTTTTTTTTTTATTTTTATTGTTTGGGATTCATCAAGGATAGAAAGAATTAGTTTATATTGATTGCATTTGCTAGATAAAGTCCCTCTTATCATTGTGTCCTGCCCCTAAGAGGTGTGCCATACTCTGTGATCCCCATCCCCCTCCCTCCTCCCCCTCCCCACTTGCTCATTCCCCTGCCCCCTGCCCCTTGTATTAGCTCATCTGCTGCCTTCATATTAGAATTGAACACACTGGATTCTTGCTTCCCCATTCTTTTGATGCTTTACTAAGAAGAAGGTGTTCCACCTTCATCCAGGTTAATACAAAGATGTAAAGTCTCCATCTATTTTAATGGCTGAATAGTATTCCATGGCATACATATACCATAGCTTGTTAATCCATTCCTGGGTTGGTGGGCATTTAGGCTGTTTCCACATTTTGGGGATTATAAATTGAGCTGCAATAAATACTTTAGTGCAAATGCCCTTATGATAAAAATGATTATTTTTTTCTTCTGGATAGATGCCTCGTAATGGGATGGCAGGATCAAATGGGAGGTTTAATTTGAGTTCTTTGACGATTCTCCATACTTCCTTCCAAAAAGGTTGTATTAGTTTGCAGTCCTACCAGCAGTGTAAAAGTGTTCCCTTCTCTCCACATCCACACCAACATCTGCAGCTTTGAGACTTTGTGATGTGGGCCATTCTCACTGGGATTAGATGATATCTCAGGGTAGTTTTGATTTGCATTATTTCTCTGATGATTAGGGATGATGACCATTTTTCCATATGTTTGTTAGTCATTCATCCATCTTCTTTAGAGAAGGTTCTATTCATGTCTCTTGTCCAGTAATATATGGGATTATTTGTTCTTTTTCTGTTGATCAATTTTAGTTCTCTATAGATCCCAGTTACCAAGCTTTTGTCCAATTCATAATATGCAAGTATCATTTCCCATTCTGAAGGTTGTCTGTTTGCTTTGGTTGTTGTTTCCTTAGCTGTACAGAAGCTTTTCAGTTTCATTAAGTCCCATTTGTTTATTTTTGTTGTTGCAATTGCCACAGAAATCTTCATACCATCTTTACACAGGATGATATCTTCAAGTGTTTCCCCCACACTTTCTTTGAGGATTTTTATTGTTTCATGACTTAAATTTAAATCTTTTATCCATCTTGAATCAATTTTTGTAGGTGGTGAGAGGTGCAGGTCTAGTTTCAGTCTTTTACATGTGGTTATCCAGTTCTCTCAACATTTATTGAATAGAGATTCTTTTCCCCAGTGTATGTTCTTGTTTGGTTTATCAAAGATCAGATAGCTATAAGATGTTAGTTTCATCTTGGTTTTCTATTTGGTTTCAAATGTCAATGTCTCTATTTTTGTGCCAGTACCATTCTGTTTTGATCACTATGGCAGTGATCTATGTAGTATAGATGAAAGTCTGGTAGGGTGATAAACCTGGCTTTGTTTTTATTACTAAGAATTGCCTTGGCTATATGGGGTTTCTTCTGGTTCCATACAAAATGAAGAATTATTTTTTCTAAATCTTGAACATATTATGATGGTATTTTAATAGGAATTGCATTAAATCTGTAGTGTAGACATTTTTACAATGTTGATTCTTCCCAG